CACCATTATTGGGCCCCTGGTCGATAAGCAATTTGTGCTCGGTGAATTGGCTAATGTCAATAAAACCGCCTACCTTGACATAAATGCAACCGCGCAGCTAATTAACTTAACTAGTACAATTAATATACTCGTGACTAATAATGACCGTGGCTATTTATTGCATAATAATGAATCAATGGTGGCTGGTGGTGATGACCCTGAGCATGTTGGCGACAGACAGTCTATGCTATGGTTGCCGTTTGCAATTATAGGGGGACTACAGCTAACCGGTATGTATTATCTGGTTTTTACTATATTATATCGTATGATAAAGTGATGTTGTATATTTAATTCAATTTATACTAGTATATACTTAACGATAGTTATCTAATTGCGGCAAAATTTTTGTTTTTACTATAAATATTTAATCAGTAGATTATGTTTTTTATAATAGTTTTTGTGTTATAATTGAGTTGAAACTGGATGTAAGCAGTATTTGTCAGTTAAATAACAGTTTTAATATAATATTCAATAATTTTTTAATATTGAATGCAAATAGTTACAATATTTTTATAAATTAAATCACAATAATGAGCTAATTGCATAAATTATTATATTTATTATTTTTATTTAATTTATTAGAATGCATAATTAATAAGTAATCACTTTATATTACTAAACGTACTGTACATCAATAATAATTTATTTACAATTTAATTAATTATGAACTACTTATTGAACATGTACACAAACTGTAATTATGAAACCAAAATAATTAAAAACTTAATTAATTATTAATATATGAAATTAATGGNTTTATTTAATTTATTAGAATGCATAATTAATAAGTAATCACTTTATATTACTAAACGTACTGTACATCAATAATAATTTATTTACAATTTAATTAATTATGAACTACTTATTGAACATGTACACAAACTGTAATTATGAAACCAAAATAATTCAAAACTTAATTAATTATTAATATATGAAATTAATGGCTATTATCAAGCATTTCTCATTTTAAATAAACAAAAAAACTTTTGTATAACTAATAATAAATATAATTTATATTAACAATATATTTTATATTTTATCATGCTAGGTGGGATACTAATATTGTCGATGTACTTCATACACAAATACCAAAACCGCAATCACATGATCAGTGAGAACCAGTCCCAGGTATCCAACGAATTGGTGGCCCGCAAGCTATTCGACAAAAAACCAGTGGACATACCCCTGGACATTGAAAACTGTCAGAGCACCACCTTGATCACCACCTCACCAAACGATAATACATGCATCATAAGCACCACCATAGCCAACTCCACGCCTACAACCGACAACCCCTACACGCCCACCACCACAAAGACCCCCATAAGTAGGCCGTCCCTATGGAAACGGATTTCCAAAGACAGCGAGCGGTGGGTATTAATTGGATTCGTGTCGGCATTCCTGGCCTTTCAGATGTCGTCCGAAGTGATATACATGCAGTTCTCGGCCACATATTTCCAGTACATACCACTCCGGCTAACCGCCCAGACATCGGCCACACTCATGTCATCCATGGCCCTCACGTTCACTATGGGTCGCGGGATTAGCATATTTGTGGCCATGAGGTTCAGACCCCAGACCATAATCATGGGACACCTACTCATATCGTTCATAGGGTTGGGTGTACTATGGGCTGGACAGACATCGCTGGTGTGTCTGTGGGCCGGCGCTATGATTATGAGCTATGGGCTATCGCCGATCATATGCAGCACCTACTGCTTTCTGGCCCAGTATCTGGACGTCAAGAATCGTATCGGAACTGTACTGTTATTTTCAGCCGAATCTCTCAACATGTTTGTGCCCTTCCTTATGGGTATATTCATTGAAAAATATGCACACATTTTCACTGTCATTATGTTTGCCAACCTCTTGTTGAGTAGCCTTATATTCGCCGGTATTATATTCATAGTGAATAGGGCTGAGCGCAGGAGTAGGTGTCCCATGAAGTAGGGCGTGATTTTACCACCCTAGTTAATATTTCATTAATAGAGTTGGTTTAGTAATTTGAAGTTTTATAATTTATTACAGGATTATAGTGATTTAGGTGATTTTATTAATTAACAATGCAACTATCTAGTGGTGACATTTGCTTGATACTTGTGCAATAATTTCTTAGTAATCTTGATGCATTACTTAAGAAAAAATATTTTTTAACAATAATAAACTATAAATTTATAAATACCGGTGACAAGTATTTCTATTTATTTGGCAACAAGGTTAAATAATAAGTTGTATCACTTGACATGAACATTTCATAATCATAAATGCCCTGATGATAAGTAATGGTGTGATATACGGTAAAAAATGTGACCATGTGTTTGCATAATTTAATTTAAAATATTTGAATAATTAACTAGCTAGAATATCTAATCAATTTTTATAATTAATACAAATAATCTGAACAAACATTTATATTAATTAATTTTATTAGAGCCATTGTTATCATTCATATATTTGTAATCATATGCTATTTATATTTGCATTAATCCACAATTTTTTTATACCAATTATTAACATTAAAAATAAAAATTCTTACAAAGTTTAAAATAATTTTATTTAATACATTACCGTATATTTTTAAAAATATAAATTAAAATGTACCATTCCCATAAAAGCCTACTTGATATCATTGCACAAAGTGCTACCACCTAATAAGTAAGTGTACTTAAGTAATAAATCAAGTGTTTGAATAAATACTTGAGTACCTGTATCCTAAAGAATTCAGTAGCAATAACACCTAACTACTTATTCAGCTATATTATATAATAACATAACTTTGAACTTCACTACCAGTGCTAAATGTATGCTTTTACAGTAGTATTTATTGGGTAAATTTTTTGATAAGCGATTACTAAATGCTAGTATAGTATAAAATAAAAACTAAAATAGACACAAACTATTTGCTAATAATTAAGTTTATCCCTCAAAAAATGCTTTAATAATCAGAATTAAAAATCTTTAACATAAATATTTAGATTGTGAAATATAAATAAAAATTGCACCGGTATTATAATTCATATTAAATACAGTGCTGTTAAAAGCGATGCTTATTGTACAAAAAAAATCACATTATCTAACTGTAAAGAATTTGCTTATTATATAACATTTAATTACAATATGAACAGTAGCATTTGAATTATAATCATTATATTATACAATAATTTTAGATACTCATTAAAAAACAATTATCAATATAATATTCAAGACAAACAGTACTTATTGATACACTTTCAAGAGGTATATAAAGGCATTTGTATTAAATCCTACATTTTATTGTGAATTATCTATTGAGATCATGGACAGGGGGCTCAGTAGGTATCTCATGATTAAATATGATCCGTGTTGGCATTTATTTGTCATAAAATTAGATAAATATCATAAGTGCCATCACTGGTCACTATTATATTTTAACCTGTAATCAAATATAATATATTATTTAAAGAGATTAATTAAAATTAAAATTATTATTTTGGCATCTTAATCCCTTGGTCATTGTTTTAGACATTGAATGTCTGTGATTTTTTAGTTATCGATAAAGGTAAATTACTTTTTTTCTTAGCATATAATAAATACCTACAATTAAATAACAGTTAAGCTCTGATTAAATAATATCAAGCATATTGATAGTATGTTTACTAATAGTGTGCATTTAGTGCGTTCAGGTTAAAATGCAATTATTTATAAATTTAATGATTATTTTTTTAAAAATTTAACCCACAAAAATTTTTTAATTTAAATAAAATACCATGTTAAAAGACTGGGATAAATACGCGTATACAGCTATAATATGTATAAATCACATGTCATCTGTAAGTAAAACAGACTATTATTATTAAACCTATATTATGTAACCTCGCACTTTCATATGCAAAATTTAAATTTGATTGTAAATAAACTATTTTATAAAAAAAATGTAAATATTTTTATGTCATATGAATAGGCGATGTGTTTTACAGCCATTGGCTCGGTATTGACCGAAATGGTCGACATATTGCAGACAACCACTCAATACATGACAATGTTTTCCACATTCACGTCAATAGGATTTTTAATCGGATCCCTGTGTAACATACCTGTCCCACAAAGACCCCCATATTCATTGGGAAAACAATTAACACACATTTAACACTATTTTTAGGCGGTTTTCTCATCAAATACCTGAACAGACAGCTAGTATTGGCTGTATTTCTGGTGATTATGGCGATCGGTACCGCATTTATACCCCACTCCTCTAATCTATACATACTGTATACGTGCGCCATAGGGCTAGGCATGGGCTCAGGTATCATCAACTGTGTGGTGAACGTATGGATCATAGAAATGTGGCTCCAGAAGAGTGCACCCGTACTACAGATACCGGGGTTGACCTATGGATTGGGGAGTATCGTGACACCCCTACTACTGAAACCCTTTTTAAGGGATAAATTCTCGGGTGATTCGGATACCACCACCACTGGCCCGGGTATTACGGTGTCGACACCTGATTCCGTAACCTATGCCTACAATGAAGACTATGAGGAGCACAGGCGCTCACTATTAAAGACACCTTTCCTTATACTGGGAATCATACAAATGATTTGTAAGTATTTAAAAGTTTTATCACAAATTATAATAATATGATTTTATACTTAAGAATTAATTTATGCACGCATATAATTTATTATATTTGTACTTGTTGTAAAATAAAAATATTTAATTAGCTAATGAAATTAAAAGTTAATCAATATTTTA